GCAGATCTGGTGCTCAGGCCAAGGGCAGTGCATAGAGCCCCATGGAGTTCACCCCTTCCCCTCTCCCCAGGAACAGAACCATTCCAGGGAACAGCGAGGTGCCCCAGGACAGGTAGAGACTAGCCTGCCTCGGCACCGCTTCGAATGGCCTTTTTGGTGCTGCTGACCAGAGCCATCAGAGTCCCTTTTTCTACAGGTGTTCTGGTCAAAAACTGGTCACCATAACCTCAATCTGGATGACCAGCATGTGCCTTCCATGAATTGCAATCATGAGGCATCCTTGCACAGCATGCGAGAACAATCTCATTTGGTAAACTTGATATTCGTATTGCTGCAGTGCCCTGGGTCCCTGTTCTACTTGTGTGGCACTGAAAACTACAGCAAGCAGGGGAGGGATTTGCAACCACGTGTCATTGACACTGGGTGGGGTTTGGGGCAAAAAAATCCTCCAAGGGGTGAAGTCCAACAGGAAAAAAGAAGGCAGGCTTCTGAGACTGGTGGGGCGGGGAAAAAAACCCAGCAGGCTGCGGCTGCATGTGAAAAGTCCAAAGTCGCTTGTAATAAGTTCATTTGGCGGCCGCAATGGGTTTTAGAGCTGGTTTGCTGATCCTTGTAGCCAATTAGGCAGGCCAGCTGCGCTCTTTAGGTTGCCCGGAGACTGGCTGCAGGCCCTGGTCCCTGACAGCAATAAGGTGAACTTCATCGCTATGGAAAGTGTCTGAATCCTCCTCTTGTAAATTCTGAAGCAAGGCTTTGAGAGTAGGGCAGCATTAATACAGGCTAACTAAGGCCTTGTTTTTATTACATTCCTAAGGGAATTCGCTGCCCCCACCCCAAATTTTGGGCACAGTGTCTTACAACATGGAAAATTTTATTTGTTAACAAATGTGCTGCAGGAAACCTCTGTTGCCACTTGGCCCAGGGCCTGGCCCAGAAGTACCCTGGCCCCCTGTGCTATGCATAGATGCCAAAGTTAGGAGTGTGTCAGGGGCTGCAGCACCCCTGGCTGGAAGTGGTTTCCATAGATTTCAGTTTGGTTCAGTGGCTCTCAGCACCAGGATCCAAGTGTGGAGGGGCTTAGTGTGAGGGGATCCAGATGTGGGAGAGACATTTCTGGGTGGGAGGCTTGTCGGGGAGGGTTCTGGGGCTTGATGGGGTGGAGGGGTTGTCTATGGGGGGGGGGAAATAGGGCTCGGCAGAAGGGTGTTGTCTAGGTGCGGGGATTGGGGGTGTCAAGAATCAGTTTGGGGGGCTTGGTATGGGGATCAGATGTAGGGGGTAGGGCTTGCATAGTTGAGGATTCCATGGGTCTGCTTAATGGGGGACCTCAGCTGCTGCTGAGGGGGTGCTGCATGCCAGGCTCCCATTCCCTGTTTTTTCTTCTCCATCCCATTTCCTTCCCCTTCCCCCGTTTCACCCCCTCTTCTTTCCCCATTGCCTCTTTGCCTCCCACCTCCTTGCCCAGCCCTGCTATGGCCATCACTGAAAGGGTTCCAGCACGCAGAAGGGGAGCACAACTGGCACCAGGACCTAGGAGGTGGCATTCAGCTGCGGAGTGAGTGGAGTGGAGACACAGCCTTTTTCATCTGGGAAGCTCTGCTTTGCAGAAATGGGGAGGGGGGCAGTGGCAGGGAACATCATGTGACACCCCCCAAGCCTCCCCTCTGTTTGGGGGGGACGATTCTCCCCCCCCAGATCTGCACCCAGGGTCCTCTTTCCCCCTCCATGTCTGCAGGGAAGCACAAAAATACTGCAGATGGGACTAACGTGCGACAAGGTCCTAGCAAAGACCAGGCTATTTGCTGCTCTCAAATGGGTTAACAAGTCGAGATCTGCTATGCTCCCCCACAGCCACCTCAACCCTGCCTGTGGTAGCAGTGTCCTGCTGTTGGCTCACTCACATTAAGACGGCATCTTCTCTTCGGAGTGTGGAACTACATTGCCTGGCTTCTTGACAAGTTGGCAACTTCTAGCATTAGGAAAAGGATCGTCTAAATGAAACCTCCTCTGAGAATCCCATTGTTACCTGACCTTGCAGCAGCTAGATGTGTACTCAACCCAGTGACTTCAGTGCTGGCTTCTATCTCTACAAGTCTGATCTCTTTTAGGTCTGTAGGCCCTCCAGCTATATGAATAACATAACTGAAGTCAACATATTTAAGTCTGCTTACTGTGGTATCTTTTCCCTGGGAAGAGGGTGGCTGATGCTCTCCTGTCAGCTCTGCTTACTCTTCTCATTCTGGTGGTGTAACAGAGTCTACAAGAGAGGTCTCAGTGGTCGATTTGTCGTGTCTACCCTGTTGGATCGATGAACCCACAGCCTGTCGATCTGGTGGGTAGTGGAAACATGCCCCGAGTGAGATGCTAAATGGGGAGTGAGTTGCATGATTTGAATACCCACATTTGAAGCACTGTGGCCTGGCTGGCTGGTTGTTGCTGCAGTTCAGATCAGCTTTCTGTGAGCAGGTTGGAGTAGATTCCATCCAAAGAACGCAGATGTTCCTTGATTCTAAACTCTGCTGGAAAGGCCAACTTGTGTTCTGTTGATGGGGCTTTTCCCTTCGGCTGCAGCTCTGCGTGAAGGATGAAGGGTGGCTGCATCTGGTTCTGCTGCATTTATAACCCTCTCTGGGGAAGAATGTCTTAGTCTGCCCCAAGACGCTGGTCCATATAAAAGTTTTGCGTGTGTTGCTGCTTCTAGCTGATGGACTTCAAGGGTTTAGGGGTCCTGTGTTCAAACCCTGCATTTGGCCCTGATGGGTTAGGTTACGTGTGTATGTAGTTGGGATGATGTGTTTAGTCAGTGTTTGGGGGGGTGGTGGTGGTGGGGGGTGGGGGGGAGTTGAGAAGGGAGACCATTAACTTTGTCTTGTTGCTTGCTGAAGGTTATTTGAGATTTTCATTAAAGATCTGAATGGCTGTTACATCTATGTTCGCCCTCTATTGAGCCAATGAACGTGACTTTTTAAAAAAAGTTCTTGTTTAACATACTCTAAGAAGCAATGAAGCTGCTGATAGGTCAGAGTCTTTGCTCAAAAGTAATTAACAAATTTAATCAGTAGTGTCATGACATCATTAAATTTCGATTTCTTTGCACGAGAAGTCCACTGACGAATGATACCACGAAAGAACCCGCACATCTGGGAAGCAATGATCATTTTTCACAGGAGCACAAAATCCAATATTTTGCCCTGTAGTTAACTCAGCTCCATCACTTGTAAAGAAGGAGTTTCAATTTATGTAAAGCAATCCGCTTTAGTCACATGTAACTGGTGAGTATCAGAGAGATCCTGCCCTTTTGGGGTATTTTTCAAATGAAGCTATTTATAGTCTGCTCTTCCCTCTTGCAAAAAGAGAGAACAGAAGCCGTGGACCACCAATAGTTCCTGTACGCCCATCAGTGGGCAGACGTCCTAATGCCACATGTGGTGGTTCTGCAGGTGGGAGTCAGAAAAATTCACAGGCAGCTTTTTAAAAGGTGAATCGAACAGTAGTGATACCTGGTGGAAGTAGAGATGTTCTGGATAGTACTTGAATTTTGGCTTTTTTTTAATCCTTAAAAAAAATAGCTTGGTACAAAGTGCTGGATTAATGACATCAGAAACTTCTTATGATTATTTATGAATATGTATTGCAGGAGAGTCAGCAAAGTTCTCAGCTCAGGGCCCCTGCGTAATGAAAATTTTAGACACACAGCAAGACCCCACTGCTGCCTCAAATTTCAGCCTATATTGATGGGCTCTATTCCCCGCCCGCTCTCTAGGTCACTTGGACTGTGCCCTCTCCGCTGTACCGTACAGAGCAGTGTTCCGTCTTCGTCCGCCAAATGAAAGCAGCAGCATAAGCTTCCTCTGCTTTACCCTACTGGTACCTCAAGTTAGCTTAGTTCTGCAGAGACCCTATTCAGTGATGGCTAGTTCTTTGGCTTCCCTACTGAGACTGTCAGTACGGGATGTGGGCTCTGGGTGCACATTCATGAGACTGTCTCACTTTGCAGACACCAGGGACAGCATCAACCCATGATTTAGCTTCACGCTGGTGGCTCCGATGGGGCTTTGTAGCCTCCTGCAGTCATCTGTTGCTTTGTAGTGTTCCATCACTAAACAGACCTTGAATAGCTCCTGGCCCTTCAGTAGGGTCTCTCCATACTAAACTCCATAGAACAATATGATGTTTCCTTCATAATCAGTTGCTTGGCCCGATGGGCTGGATTCACACAACTTCATGCTCGGAAGGTGAAATAAAAAGCCAGTTGTTGCCCTTTCCTGCTCCTTCTAGTGTCTAGCAGGGGCCTCTGCAGTTAAAGCCAGTCACCAGAAATATCCCACTCCTCTTTCTTGAAGAGATTCAATTCCAGGATTCATTCTCTTCCCCCTCCACTGGGAAAGCTGGCAGAGCTGGAGCTCATGTTTCTCTGTGAAATCATGATCCCAACCCTCCACAAATCTTGCCAAAGCTATTCAATCAGAACTTGCTGTTTGGAATAGAAGAAAACAACACTACATAGTCCTATTTTTTGTTCCAGCTACACTAGACTAACACGGCTACATTTCTATCTCTCTTCTGAACAACTTGGTGGTATCTTTATACATCCCAGAGGAATCCTGAGGAATCCCAGCAAAACATTTTTTGGTGATGGTTGTTTTATTTCTTTGCCTATTCAATCAGAACTTGCTGTTTGGAATAGAAGAAAACAACACTACATAGTCCTATTTTTTGTTCCAGCTACACTAGACTAACACGGCTACATTTCTATCTCTCTTCTGAACAACTTGGTGGTATCTTTATACATCCCAGAGGAATCCTGAGGAATCCCAGCAAAACATTTTTTGGTGATGGTTGTTTTATTTCTTTGCCACTCTGGTAGAGCTCATTCCCATACAGGGAAATATTCTTAAAAAAGGTTTCTGGTCATTCTTTAGAGATGCAAAAGTCTCTGTAAGTTGCATCTTTTGTTTTACCTTGGCTCAACCTCCATGCAATTGGCTTCTTTGTTAATAGTTCACCCTCACCACAGAAGAGATGGAATTGGATTTTCTACTCCTGGAAGCCCTTTGGTCAAATTTTACTCATTAAAGTCAGACAAATCTGCACTAAGAACATTTGAGTTTAAGGTAACAACCCCAGGATCCAATCCCAAATACCTGCATTGAAGTCTGTGGTGTTACTTCACTGGTGGGATTTGGCCTCAGTCCTTCCTGAGTCTTTAGAATTCTGATTGGTAAGTTTCTATGTTTACCTTCTACAAATGGTTATTCTGTCTATTGAATTGTATCTGCTTTAATGTTTAGGAGCATTGGGAGGGGAGAGCGGAGGAGAGGAAGACTGCATTACTGTGTGTTATTTGAACGCTGCATTAGAGAGTCCCTCTGAAAAACTTAATCTCTCTGGGTAGGAGTTGATCAGGTTTAGTATAAAACTTGCAGTTCTTTGTCCTGTGACTTGCAGAGAGCAGGAGGAAGAATCAATACTTTTTCTGATCTCCTAACACATCTCCTTTAATGCATCCCTGTTAATTTTTCACACCAACTTGTAATGATGATTTTCCTTTTGAGGCGCTTTCCCTTTCATGTCGCCTTGGACAGGAAGCAGGTTTATTTGTTTGAGGTGTTGCTTTTCCTATTGACTTGTTTCTTGCTTTTCCCATCAATTATAAAAACTAAGATAACATGTAAAACCATAAAGCAAAACTACAGCTCATAACCTTTCACTTAACTTTTACATCTCTTTGGAATTTGGCTTGTGAGGGACTTACTTTCCCTTCTTAGGCTGTTTGTTTCTGAGTGACAAGCGATTATTTTCAAGAGGTTTGCTAAATGCAATGGAAAGCAATTTTTTTTCTACACACGTTGAAGGGAGCAGCACAATTAGAGACACTTTAGATGCTTGACCTACGCTTAAGTCTCCAAACAAAAGTTGTAAAGATAGGTTTGATGTTTTTTCAGGCGCAATTAGCATAATGCTGTAATTATGGTTTATAGCAGTTGTATTCCCCCAGCTATTACACTGACTAAATACATTCATCTGGGGTGTTCTGGCGTACTAGCTAAACATACACATTGCTCCCCCCCCCAGTCTACTGGATGAATACACAGACACACACACACACTATGTTCTTGTTTCCAATCTATCACCATATGCCTGTCTTTTACAGTTCTTTGGTGCATGATGCTCATAGAGTGGATAATTAGCTAAATGAATTAATTGACATTCATACTTGTAATTAGCAAATGGTTACAAGCAGCTATTCTCTTTGGGACAACTAAAATTTCTCGGGGAGTAATGTTAAAATACTGTAAAATCATTAAGAGTAAATAATGAGGGCTGATGGTAATGCATGATTATGGAGGCTGTTTTCTTTCCCCAGTCATAAAGCCGTCCACATTGTAAACAAGCCTGTGCAAAAGAAAAGCATGCTATAAAATGTTCTGGAAACGGCCCCTCTCAGGAGATGCAATGGAACTGAAGGATGTACTCCAGATGAAACCTGAGCCAGATGGATGGCATGCAATCAATAGCGTGTTGATAGCTACTGTGAGCACTTGTCTGTCTGCTATGACAAAATAAGGGCAGCGCCAGCTTTTGCTAACAGTTCTTTCCCAATATTTACCCAAGAGCTCTGGCAAATAAGAAAACTAGTAAATAAAGGCACACTGCAACCTGCACAGCTAATCTCTGGTCCACAGGTCCGGACTGGTGTTATGGCCTTGGAGGTGGACCTATACCATCGCAGGCTGTGGGTCAGAGGCATCTTTCTTGGGTAGAGCGTGGAGAGATGCTGAAGTCTCAGGTATCCGCTCTTGGTCCCCTCTCAGAGTTTAACGATTGCTTCAGTGACACATCACCAGCCCGCTGCTACCTGAAACCATGAGAAGAATGACTGTGCAAAATTCTTAGATCCTCTCTTCATACACTGGGCTTGCCTGATATCCCTTGCCCTGTCGGCGTGGGGACTCTGCACCTTTGGCTGTGGAGGATTTCCCCAGAAAGGGGCAGGTGGCCTCCTGCCCCAAGGGGCTTAGCTAAGGCAGCACTGCTTTGTCTGGTGGCCAGGACCCTGTAGCTGCAGGGCAGCCTGTGCTGAATCATTGCAGCTTCTGGCTCCTCCTCATGCTTTCCTGGTTCACCTTATTTACTCTTGTGGCAGCTCCAAAGAGAGCAGAGATTGCAGGGGCCTTGTGCGGAGAAACGTCTTCCAGTTGCTTTCGGTGGCTGGGAACCTGTCCCAGAGGTGTGCCAGCGGGGGCGGATGTAACTTGGCGCTGTATCAATAGGAGGGATGTTGCTTGACGTCAAGAGTTCTTGGCCTTTGTCTCCAAGAACCGCAAGCAGCTGCTTGCAGCCGGCTCCTGAATGAAGCAGCTCGGAGTCCCGTCCATTACTCCCCATGGTGCATTTCAAAGGAGGCTCTGAGAATCTGTGGGGTGCATTTGGGGAGCGCTCCCTCTCTGGGGCATGGCTGAGCAGATCAGATGGGGAGCAGGAGCAGCCTCGTAGACCCAGCGAATTCAGAGGGAAGGAAGAGCTGTGTCAGTTTTGTAGTGAAGCTCACCCGGCTCTAATTTCACATGGGGCATGACTTGGCAGCAGCTGCTTTGCCTCGCTACCTTAAGGCTTGTGCCTGGCACCACGGCTATGAAAGGAGTCAGTTTTTCTGCCCTCCTTGGAATTTCCCTGTGCAATCCCTGTCTGCTTGGGCTCTGTGCAGGGGACCACCGTTTGACCCTCTAATGAGGAGCGTGACTCAAACAGCTTGTGAGTAGAATTGGGTTGCCTCAGGCTGCTTGGGAGGCTCAGTACTCGATAGGTCCTGGGCCTGCACTGAGCAGGTGCAGTATCCTCAGATGTAGCACTTGATGTGGCGTCAGGACTGTTGTGGTGTTTGTAAAATATATGATGCATGTTGTTACTCACACAAAATTCTCTCATGCCCACACTCTAGAGACACACACCTTCACCCAGTTCCTCAGGCTCAAGCTGTAGCTTCCTGCAGGTTTGCAGGACCTTTTACCAGCAAAAGAGCCTTACACCATAATATCCTTACTCTCCCTATTTATTAACAATTACCAAGCAAGCAGAATACACGTGCCAAGCATACTGTGCTGTGCTCACCTACCTGATCAAGGCAGGTGAACTTTCCCTGTTGGCCAGGTCAGTCTTGTCTGGATTCTGCTTGCAGCACATCACGGTCAGACCGTTCCGATCTTAGGCTGGGTCTTGGAAGTGACCAGGTCTTTCCTCTTCTTTCTGTCCTTCCTTCCTCTCCCTGCTGGTCCCTTGCTTGGACCCCAATTCTATATAGTGGAACTTGAGTCTTACTTAGCTATACCTTAACTAATCCTAACATATTGTAACACAATTCCCTAACCAATTATAGCCCACACCTTAATTGATTTACACCTAGCAAAATTAATTATACGGCAGATAGAAGCAATTAAAAACCAGACAGAGATGATACAGATAAACAATAGGAAGTGAGGACCATAATAATAGAATGAGGATTTCACAACCCCAAATTTGTCCAAGGAGTTTCTTGCTAGACGAAATGCTATCAAACTATTTTCTTTAACCATCTTGAGATCTGTTTCTTTATCTGGTGATAGTGGGTACCTTTAAGGCAGGGTCTTCGTCTTAACAACCTGATATTACACTACAGGTTAAACCTCTCCAGGTTGAACCTCTCTAATCTGGCTCTCTGATCCAGCAAATTTGTGGTCCAGCATGATTTTAGTTAGCTAGGTGACCACTTATCGTGGCCCAGTTTTCAGTAGTCCCATAAAGTTTATTCACAACCACCCGTTCTGTCTCTCAGCGTTCTGTGCTGTTATTTAGCTCTAACTTACCCCTCCATGTCTTCTAAAAGCCCAGTGTGCAGTGGACGTGTAGGTAATGCTGCTAGACAATATTGACCTCTCACGGTTCTGTGAGTGAGCTAGACTAAAGAGGTTCATCCTGTATCAGCTTCTAGCTACATGGAACGAAGAGCAGGGATCTGTTCAAATCTGGTTGGAAACTAAGAGTTCTGTTTCAAATGCAAAACAGTTGTTCAGTGAGAGGTGTATAACTACTGTTTGCTTATGTCTTTACAGTGTGCTTGATGTTCAGTCTAATTCTAATGGAATCGCAGATAGCTTCCTAAGGCTCCTAAAAGAAGAGGCTTAGAACATGAAAGAGTATGGCATTGAATTATTGTTATGAAACCTTTTCCCCAGTATCTTCAGCCAGGAATGTGTCTGATGTGGAAACATCACACCAATTAGATTATCTCGCTGTAGAAACTGTGACACTGTAGAAAACTTTCCTACGGGAATGGGCACAAACCCCATTGGTTGGGATGCATTTAAAACATGACTTGTCAAAGTGCAAGGAGATCGGTCTGACTTTTCTGGAAGAGAGAGCCTGGGATCAGAGACCGGATCACTGGTTGGTTGATCATCTTGTTAATGCTTAAGTTGCAGTAGAACCCATAGACCTCAACCAGGATGGATCCTATTGCCTGTGTATGGGTGCACAATAAACTGCATTCCTTTCCCCAAAGAGCTTAACCTGGAAAAAAGAGACCCTGGGATGGAGGAGCCTAACCAACAGGCAGTGGTGGCAGAAAACAACCCAGATTCTTAGTAGTGAACGTAGTTTGCCACCTGCCCCACATCTGGTTGTGCTGTTTGGAAAAGAAATGGCACCAGGGTTGGAGTTGGGGCTGCGTCAACTGTGGGGAGATGGAACGTTGACAGCAGACAGTCAGCGCACATTGGGGTTGGGGAGAGGAGGATGAAAGGCTGTGATTTCTCCCCCCCCCCCCCTAGCACATAGCAAGGCAAAGACCAATCCATAGCTTGGACTCCTAGTGGCTTGTCCCGTAACAGCTAATGGCAACATGTCCTGGAGTGGAGGGAGATCTCCGATGACTTGAGAATCTAGAATATGTCTTGCAAACCCTGAAAGACCCATTCTGTAGAGAACCAGAGTGCAGAGGCAGGGAGGTAGATGGGATGACCCTGTAGGTAGCACGTCTCTCCTTTCTCACCCTCCCATTTGGGCTTTTTATGTCTCTGTTGAAGAGGGCAAACAGGACAAGCGCATTGGTCCTGGGCTGATATTGAGCCTGCTAAAGCCTTGCCTGCGCTAAGAAAATATCCCTGGTGGCTGCAGCTGAGCTGGTGCTGAATGCGGGTTTAGTGAACAGACCAGGCCAAACTGTGTGCCCTGCACCATTTCGGA